TTCGAGGCAGGAGGCAGAAACAGCCCGGGAGGGTCGCTGATTTCACACAGCGCAGTTTCTTAAATTCGAACTATATCCAAATACGCATCGTCGTCCAGTGCCGTCATAACGAAACGTCGCCTGGTGGAACGATGAGAGGCGATAAGGGATTTACAATACACTTGAATTTGTATTTGGAATTGCGAAGAAAGCTCAAGAGCGAAACCGCAGAGAAAAGAAGGAAAAGAGCGATGACTTAATTTCGACTCGCTGGGTACAAAGAGTTCATAAGGGCTTTTCCGTGCCTGAGAGGCTCACGCTGACAAGGTGTCATCATGTATTCCAGCCCCAGCACATTTTCATTCTGCATCGAGTAGATAGCTCTCGATACCGGAAAATTCCCGAATAGCGTCGACACAATCCGCTAGGCAGAATTAAAGGAATACACAAAAATATTGCTCTGAGTTGCATGGTCAAGGACCCAAATCGCGAACTCCGCCTCAATCGACAGAATCTATCAGTTTTATTCTTCTTTCGAGAGCAACCATGTCATGCATCACGAAGTGAGAATTCAGTCTAATCAGAAAAATAGACAAATCTCACTGAAGTCGATTGACTCGAAAGACCCACGATAATAATGGGCCTGGATTTCTTTTGTGACGCACAGCGTCAAATCAGTCAGAGAATGTTGTCAAGATACAGGACTTGATCCACCTGAGACATGCGAAACTATTGTATTCTGGACTCAAGTGTACCACATGTATGGAGTGGGGAGAATGCGAAGAATGGTGAAGAATGTTTCGTGATATTCAATCATCACTCCACAGATCAAATTCCCTGGAAACTTCTGTGAGTCAAAGTCGCAAGTGAAATGACTGAAGTCATTCAGCTTGTACGGCCTACAAGCAGATAGAACAAGTCGCATTGTGTCATGCAAATCGCTCTGAGCTAATCTATACAGCCAGACTTTACCGCCGCGAGCCGTCTTTCTCTTAAAAAGTTGCTCGCGAAGACGGCTTGAGAGGTCGAATAAGATCGGATGGATGATGCACGGCAACCGTATACTTGAAGGCAGCATGGATTCAATCCACGGCGCCCCTGATAAAGCAGTGTGCAGGCATTCAGATGAGTCTAACTCAATTTGTGCCTGGCGCGCTGATAAACTCGACTTTCCATCCGTCATATACACGACCGCGAAACAGCATAATGCTTGAAATACCTATATATATAAATTGCTTAAAATGCATTGTTTCCGAAGGAATTGGTTCAGGTACCAGTAATGACTGTTCCAACAAGAATTCACGAAGGAGATATTTTCGTCGACACAAAATCGCGTAGAGCTACAAAGCTCAGCCAGGAGATGGAACTTCATTCCTCTCGGCATCCCCCCATCACGGAACGGAGCAAGCTACATGAATATTCCGTAGCTTACCGATACCTTTTTTCGGAACCCAGATATACATACTGTTTAAAACTTCTGTTTAGGTTCTGTTTAGAACTGTTTGGGTTTCTGAACCAGACAAGAACAGCTCTTCTTCCAGCAAGAATGAAGCACGGATTTCTATATCCCTAATCGCAATGTCTGAGTCTCTTATTCGAAACGGAATTAGTTTCTAAGTGTATCTGTCCATGTGGCTCTATATGAGCAAGACTCTCGAATTGGTTACAAGACCTGGGAGGTGAGCGCTCTCGAAGAGCCTGCTCACAATACGGACGACGAGCTTCAGCATCCATGTCTGGCCGGAGCAGTCCAGCAACATCAATAGCTTGCTGAAAACGAATCCGATCTCTACGTTGGACAAACAAGGCAAATTGTATGAACCCGTTCCTGGACCTTCGCTCCCGAGGACGAAAGGCCGGAGCACTGAGCAGGCAGCTGAACAGTACCATCCTCGATCAGTATCGGACAGGCAGCTCCACCAGCCAACGCATCAGCAGCATCCTCCTCTGGAGGGGGAGCCCATCTATCACTGCTACCGGACGGAGGAGGCGAACGTCGGACCATGTTGCTTTCCCTCGAAGGAAGTAAGTGCCCACCGAGGAAAAACTGGAGCTTATATATGTCCAAGGTACTATAATCAGAGTCTGAATACTTCTTCGAATATTCCGCAGTAAGGGAGAAAATGTTGGAAAATTGCCATCAATGGATGATTGCCTTTCCTTGAATGACTGTCTAGAATTTTCTCGGAGTCAGTGTTTATGATAATTACACCAAGTTAATTTCCAATACCCTGAATGTTTATGTTTACTGTCACAACATACTTTGATCTATGTGCCCATTATATTTAATGGTGTCAATTGTCGGATGGTCAAGCGAGATGCGTGAATAACAACTTTCAATTTTAGCGCTCCCGATCAAGCGCCACCTGGTGACAAAAATTAAATCCGCGCACTCAGTAGTGCTTCGATGATACCGAACGAAACATATGTGTTCTCTATCTCCGAAAGACGAAACTAAAGTTGCACTAAACTCCCCCTCGGTCGTTCGATCAAGATTCACGTAGGACCTGTCGCCACGCTCCACATGGTGCCGTGAGCCAGGATCGTCTCCGCCTGTCGCCGACGACCTATTCGATCAGCCTGTGTGATAGGCCTAACGTCCTTCCCGGGATTCTACGAACCGTGCGGGTGAGCGACTACAAATCTCGGAACAATGCCCGACACACCGCAACCAGGAGAAATCAAGAAGCAGCTCGCTAATCATCGTCGGATTCGAACGCGATCCCGCAACACGGTGAAAGACTTGCTCGACCAAGTAGAGAACCTGAAAACCGCGAGCCCTTCGTTCCCAAACATCGATCCAGTGGCGCTCCAGACTCGTCTCCAGACCCTCTGGCCACGCATCAAGACGTTGGACGAAGCCATCCTCAATCTCATCACAGACGAGAAGGACAGGGAGGATGAGATCGGCGAATCCGAGGAATTCGAGGATCTCATCGAGGATGCCATCGCAAGAATCGGCGCCGCCATCGAAAAACTTCAGCAACCGACCTCTTTCGTGTGTGATGAGACGGGCATGAATTACGCTACGCCGGCCGCCGTCCGACACGTTCGATTTGGGCAACCGTCGGCGTCCACGCCGTTCCCGAGATCGAATGCACAGAGCGAGTTCAATGACCTACAGGAAACCGTGCTGCATACGCTGGCCCCTCCGGGACGGTCCCCCATGGGTGACGCTCAGACGCATGCAGTCGAGGAGCAGGCTCCGACCATCCTGGGATGGCCAGTCATGATATCGAACTTGCCGAAAGAGTTGGACATATCGCCCGAGCCCTTCAACGGCGATAAGCTGCGCTACAGAGCGTTCATAACTCAATTTAAGTGTTTCGTTGCAAAGCGAAAGGATGCCGCTCCTGTTGAGAAGTTGATGACCCTGCGAAAGTATCTCAGAGATCAGCCAAGGGAGTTGGTTGAGGCCTTAGCCCTCGAGGACCACAACTATCAAATCGCTCTGGATCTCCTCGAAGAAACGTATGCCGAAGTGACATGCGAGACCGAGCGGCTCCTATCTGATCTACGGGTCCTCCCTGCGTTCACAAGGTATCACGACCTTGCGGCTCTGCAGAAACTAATCGCACGCATCCAGAGGAACACGGCCAGTCTTTCGGCGAACAACATCCCCTTGGAGGTTTACGCGTTTACACTGAAGAATGCAATCGAGGCAGCGTTACCTACTCGGCTAAGACATGAGCTTATGGAACATCATGCGTGGGAGCGCCGCCTTGTCGCCCTCGCTTCCCACGGCTCCGAAGACGTTGAGACCGGTGAGAGCGCGTCCAAAGACTCTGGTCTAGGAGTGGCCGAGAAAACTACGAAGGAGGTCAGAGAGACTCTCAAATTCCTTATCGCCAAACGTAGGCTCTGGGAAACCGACAAGCATTTCTCCAGCAACAAGGATGGCGGCTCGGAAGAAAACGTCGCGAAACCCACCACGACATCTCCGTACCTTCGAGGGACCACTGTATACCAGAAGGGACAACGCCTCCACGACGGAAACCAAGCGAAGTTCGGTGTGGTGAACGCGGTTGCGGGTTCCTCACGGAGAGGTCAATTTCAACGCACAGGAAAATGTCTATTCTGTGGTTCAGCCGAACACCGACCGTCTAGGTGTGATGCTGACATGACTTTGCAGAGTCGAAAGGACACTCTCGCGAAATTCAAGCGATGCGAGGTGTGTCTACGATCCTCTCACCCCGGTGGTTCAACCTGCGAAGGTCCGAAGATGCCCTGCGGAAAATGCAGCTCAAAATCCCATTACACCGCTATGCATCCACCAGAAAGGAACACTGCGTCCGCCGCGCTGGCAACCGCCGCCGGCTGTACGACTCAACAGGGGGCTCTGGTTATGACGGCGACGGTTTACCTGGTCGCGAGCCGAGGGGGCACGGTCCCAATTCGCGTCTTCCTGGACCGCGGGGCAACGATCACGCTGATCAAGCCGTCCGCACGGCTCAAGCTCGGAGGTACTCCGGTTAGCCGCAGCGACATGGTTATTCAGACGCTGAAGCATGCGGACGAGCAAACGTCGCTTCCCGCATACCGACTCTGCCTCATGGGAGCAAATGGCGGTCCGAAGATTGAGATCGTCGCTCACGAGTATGATTTCGACGTCGCACCGGATACCTTTTGCCCACCACACGTCGCTGAGGCGTTCGCGCGTTTCGATAGAGAATATCCGATGGCCGATCGCTCTTACTTTAGCGAATGGGATGCGACCCCGCCGGCGCTGCTCCTTGGCGTCGACCAAATCCACCGCGTCATGTTGCAGTGCGAGCCGAAGAATGTTGTGGATAGCATCTCGGCATATCAGTCGAAGTTCGGTTGGATTGTCGACGGGGCAATCGCGAGTCCGTCGGTTGCGGCGAGATCGCCAATTGTTTTGTGCAGCAACACGTTCAAGCCGGGAGCTCCATTGTGCGGAACCGGCGGACGTGGAGAGACTATGGAGGCTCGATGCGCTGGGGATATCAGAGCCGACGGGATCTCAGGAGTCCTCAAAGTCGGCTGACGAGGAGTCTGCCATGAAGCAATTTCTCGAGGGAGTGCAATACTCCGGAAGGTACTACACCGTGAATTTTCCGAAGAGAGAAACCATCGACCATTTCCAGAATAACTACTCCACCGCTAGAACGCGGCTGGACCGAAAAATTGCCCAACTCCAACGTGACCCGATCGCTTACAGTCGATACCACAAAGAAATAATGAAGTTTGTCGACAGTGGTTTCGCGGCGGCGGTCCCTCCAGATGAATTCCCTGCACTCACACGGTGCGATGGCTCCTATTTCATGCCACACCACGAGGCGATCACCTCGAGGCCAACCGGAGACCGTTGGAGGATAGTTTTTGACTGCTCTGCCAAAGCTGGTGGCCAGACATCCCTGAATCAGCACCTGCTCATCGGTGAGAACCCCAATCCGGACCTTGTGACCCTGCTCCTCAACTTCAGGCTCAGGCCCGTGGCCGTCGGTGCAGATATTGCCGGAGCCTATATGACATTGCGCGTCGCAGAGAGGGATCAACGGCTGTCTCAGTTCTTGTGGAGACCGCCGGGATCGGACGAGGTTCATGCCTTTCGGATGCTTCGCGTGACGTGGGGAGCGGCCTCTTCGGGCTTTCTCCTCGCGGCCACGATACGACACCACCTGAAGAGAGCGGACGGAATCGCCGCTGGGCTCGGGGCCTCTCTTTACGCGGACGACTGCCTGCAGGGATTCGACACGGTTGCGGAGGCGCAGCAGTTCACCGATGCAATTCGAGAAGTCCTCGGATCGGCGGACATGAAACTCGCTAAATGGAAATCAAGTTCGCAAGAGGTTTTGGATCACCTTGCCGCATCGGGAGTCGCGCCGGAGGACTTTGACTCAGCGCCCGGGGACCTACTAAAGGTTCTCGGTGTTTCTTGGGAGCCGCTCCGGGACAGGCTTCGTTTCGTGTGTCCTCAGCGGATCCGCGATCTCGGCCTCGACGGGCCGGTGACCAAGCGTGGAGTTCTTAGCGCCGTCGCGTCGGTCTCCGACCCGCTCGGATACCTTGGCCCGTATCTTATTCGCGGAAAGCTTATCATTCAGAAGTTGTGGACTCGGAAGCTGGAATGGAATCAACGAATCCCAGCTGAGTTGGAGTCAGAGCTTCGCGCATGGGCGCAGGAGTTCAGGGCCTTCGAGAATTCGGATATCGATCGTCGTAACACCACGCGAATGGAGACGGCAACGCGCCATCGTTTGCATCTATTCGGAGACGCGTCGCCTCTCGCTTACGCAGCAGCCGCCTACCTAGAGCGAGTTTACGCCGACGGCACTAACGAATGTTCGCTCCTCATGGCCAAGTCGAAATTAGCGCCGCGCGAGCATCAGTCGCTTCCGCGCCTGGAGCTGCTGGCAGCTCTCATCGCCGTTCGATTGAAAAACTTCTTACTGGAGCGGCTGGATCTGAAGATCGACGGCGTAAGATTCTACACCGACTCCATGATCGTATATCACTGGACTACTGGTGCGGAACCTGGGAGTTAGAAAACTTTCGTGCATAACCGGGTCGAGGAAATCGCTCGGGGATCGCGAAAGGAGGAATGGTTTCATGTTGTTGGAGACTCAAACATCGCGGACTTGGCGACGAGAGGCGTCTCTGCCGGCCTGCTAGCATCTTGTGAGGGCTGGTGGAATGGCCCAGAATGGTTGAGGTGGCCGGAGAGCAAGAAGCCCATATCCCAGCCTAGAAGTGCAACAGGTAGCATGGACTCCGTGAGGCAGGAGCTCCGCAGGCTCGTCGCACCGGTTCAATCATTGTCTCCGCTAATCGATCTAGAAAGATTCGGATCGGCTGGAAAAGCGATCAGGGTCTTGGCCTTGACGCTACGGTTTCTGGACCTAGTTCGCGCCCGGGAACCGCGCTCGCCGAAAGAACTCTATTTCGCGGCCGAGGCTTTCATCATCCGCCGAGAGCAAAGACAACATTTCCCGCGTGAGCTAGCCGCAACTGGAGCCAAGGAGCGGCTCCCAACGAATTCCAAGCTCGCCGCCTTCAGCACTTTCATCGACGCCGACGGTCTACTCCGGGTGAAGACTAGGTTGCACGAAGTGTCCTACATGAGCGACGACGAGAGGAACCCCATCGTCCTGCCGGGAGAATCAAGATTCGCAAGAATACTCATCGTTGATATTCATCGAATCAACGCTCACTTTGGAATTACGACAGTTCTCAGCCATCTCCGACGACGCTATTGGGTTACCCGGGGCCGCCAAACGCTTCGGTCGGTTCTCTCTCGATGCGTTGTCTGCAGGCGCGAGCAGGCTTCTCCGCGCGGCCAGTTGGAAGCTCCACTTCCGGTGGAGCGCGGCCAGTTTCAGCCAGCTTTCGAGACGGCTGGCATCGACTTCTGCGGACATTTCCATACACGATTCAGAGAGGGTGACAGCGAGCACGGGGCCTACGTGATACAGAAGACTTACGTCGCTATCTTCGTCTGCACGTCGACGAGGGCTGTACACCTCGAGGCGGTCCCATCGTTATCTGCGCCACAGACGCACATGGCACTTCGTCGTTTCCTGGCTATCTACCCAGTCTGTCGAGGTCTATTGAGTGATAATGGAGCCAATTTGGTTAAGGCTTCCACGGATCTCAAGCGACTTTTCAACTCGATGAAGGACCCCGCTGTTAGGGATCTCCTTCACGGCAGATGCATCTCATGGAAATTTGCGCCGCCTCGCGCTCCGCATTTCTCGGGTCACACCGAGCGACTGGTGGGAACGTTGAAATCATGCCTCCATCGGACTCTCGGCCGATCGCTAGTGGGGTTTGAGGAATTCAGGACTATCATAGTGGAGCTGGCCGCCGCGATCAACGATCGTCCATTGACCGGGACCGGTGCAAACGCAGATACTCCAGTGGCCCTCACCCCCGCTATGTTCATTAAGGGTGGACCGCAGCCCGAGCCGTTGGCGACTATCCTTCCGATCGACGAACTACGCAACGACGAACCCGCAGCGGGAGACGCGCTGAGAAGGCAGCTAATCGAGCGCACGACTTACTTCAGATCCCTCTCGGTCAGGTGGTGGCGTGAATACATCGCCTTGCTCCGTAGTGCAAATCAGACACGGGGCCGCGAAACCCCGCCGATCGAGCTCGGTGACGTATGCATTCTGGTCGACGATAATCGACCCCGGCAGAAATATCCGTCGGTACGAGTAATCGACGCCCATGAGGGTCGAGACAAACTCATTCGGACCTACACGGTGAAGTTCCAGAACGGGAAAACGTCACGTCGCGCGGTCCACCTGCTAATCCCCTTGGAAGTCGACAGCGCGGATTCGGAAAGAAAATCCGGGAGTCAGACACCCAACAGCCAAACACCGACCGAGCCCGGAACCTAAATTGACTTAGGATCTTAAATGTATATACTCCAGTCATGTAATTTAAATGTGTAAATTGTGGCATCTCGCTTGGCGGGACTGTCAATTGTGGGATGGTCAAGCGAGATGCGTGAATAACAACTTTCAATTTTAGCGCTCCCGATCAAGCGCCACCTGGTGACAAAAATAAAATCCGCGCACTCAGTAGTGCTTCGATGATACCGAACGAAACATACATATGTGTTCTCTATCTCCGAAAGACGAAACTAAAGTTGCACTAAACTCCCCCTCGGTCGTTCGATCAAGATTCACGTAGGACCTGTCGCCACGCTCCACAAATGGAACCAGTCTTTCCTAGACAAGTCTATGGAGCTGTGCTAGTATATAAACCACACTGAAATAAACATCAGACACAGATTCTTCTGTCTCCGCACGATACCCTGCGTCCTCATTCATGGGTTGAGTTCCTCTCTACCCGCCTCCGGTATCCTCCGACAAGTGCCGCTCATCAGGAATCATCTGGACCAAACTGCGTTCACCTCCGACTGAGACAAAACTAGACGGCCAATGTTGTGGGGTCCTGATCGAATCCCCAACAGCATACCTCCACCAGATCCAGCGCCAGTTCCGCAAGCACCCCAGGGGATCACAATACCCGCGGATCCAGCAATCACGTGCAAGAACGAAAGCAGCCCCACAGAGCCCCCCGAGAACTATCTCCCGAAGTTATCGAAGAGCTTCAAACTGCCAAAATTCAACGGGGATCCGAACACCGAAAATTTATGGATATGTTCGATGCCTTCGTCCACGACCGAAACATACCAGTTCTTCAGAAGATCATCTTGCTCCACGACGCTCTGACGGGCCGGGCTTACCACAGTGTGAAACATCTGTCACGGATACTCCATTGGCACCACAATAAAGCTCGAATGGTGGCGTCTTGGTCGGGTTTCCCTCTTCCCCCGAACCCCTCTCGCCCTGTTGCAATCGACGAGGTTCGGCGGGAACGTGCAACATTCTCACGCAGTCTCTCTACCGCGTTGCACGCGGTCCCGACCCGGGAGACCTCCACCTTCGAGTCTCACTCGAAAGTCAGTCTTTTCTTTCCATCCGTCCGTGAGAACCGGAATCGAAACCGTGAATAACAACATCTAAGCCTCCGTGCAGAAAGCTAGGAACCAATGAAGCAGATACTCCAGGAGTTATACGGACAAACGAGCATGGCGGAAGACGGACACCTGAGAGAGCTGGAGAGGATCATCTCATCCGGAGGGGACATCAATTACGATAAGTTACCCGGTTTTGTCAACTCAATCTCTCAGCACATTCTAGCACTTATCACTCTCGGTCAATCATACATAACATTAACCCCCGCATTCGCCAATAGAATCCTCGCCAAATTATCAAACGAGACGCAGCGTAAATTCATGGATTCGTACAGGTCAACACAAACCACAACACAAACATGCAAGCTTGAAGCCTTAATTAAATTCCTTAAGGCAGAAGCGCTTACAACAGAAGCTCTCAGGGAGACAAGGGCTCATCAAGGAGACCTCCACACCAACCTTCGAGCTCCAGGAGCAACGACAAGTTCCAGCATCGGAACGGGCCCAGCAGACCCCCAACACGTCCATCATTCTACCAGTCTCGGGATCAGTTCAGCAATCCCGGAAGGACGACTGTTGTTCCTAGATTGGTCGAAGGCTAGGTTCGGTAGATCAGCGGGACACGTACGAGCTCAGAGAGGACAACCGGAGGTTGAGATGGGAGCACACCACAGTAATTTTATTGGAGAAAGTGTCGTCTTATATATCAGTAGGTTGACCCTCTCCGAGAGGCACAGTTCGTAAGGCATCGAGTAAGATTTCCAGATGGTTACTAAATACGGAATCAGAAGAGAGGCCTGATGAGTGGAGCCTCTGACATGTGTCAGAGCTGGAGCCTCTGGCACGTGGCACAGTACGGAGTCGGGGTTTACCGAAATAGATATGACAGAAAGCTTAGCTTAGAAGAATGAGTGTAGCTATTCTAAAGTTAGTCTCAACATCCCCTCTAATAGGTAATATCGAAGGCTTCTAAGCGAAAATTCGGACAATTTTGGTCCGAAAATAGGGGTAAAATGAGTGGTAG